TATATATATTTTTTTACCCTTAATATTGTACTAAACAAAATAGAAGAGAAAATTATAGCGTTTAGTATTACTGGTCCAAGGAAACACATTGCAAACAAACATTTACCTGATTCTGCAAAGCTGATGATCTCATAGCTTTGTTGGTCTGTATCAGAAGTATCGCCATCACTGCCCCAGTTTGAGGACCCAAAAAGACCATCCATACGTGGCTTGGTTAAATGCAGCCTGCGCAGTGCATTCACCACAGCTCCTCTAGGAATCGGGTGAGTGATATTAGGTCTCTCCTTTAGATGGAGCTTCTGGAGAATTTGTTGCTTAGCCACTTCAATCATCACATCTTTGTCTTGCACTCCACAGGAGGGACATTCACTTTTCCTTCCTCCGCCTTGCGTAGATGCTGCCCAAGCACCTAACAGAGTAAGCAGATAAAAAAAGAAGCCTTCTCTCTGGAATCGAGAAGTCATCGTGCCAAAAGTCTTGGAAAGCTGAGATGTTGCGAAGGGCAAAGCTCTGCTGATGACTGATGACAAAGGGTCAAGTCTCTTTCACCTACCACTTTCTTTAGCTTTTCGTAGCTGTGGGTTCTGCTCAACTAGCATCCTGCTTTTAACAGAAACCTGGTCCAGCATAAGCTGTCATGTGGCTATTGAGTCTCGGATTAACTTCAGGACACCCTCCGTCAGATGATAGGTCAAAGATACAGATTCACAATAAGTATTATATCTGCAGGTGGATCAAAGACGTTGATCTTAGGTGATGTCAGAGCCTAGTTCTTCCTATGCTGTCACAGGGAAATTAATGAAAGCCTTCCCAACTTTGGAAACCATGCAAGTCTTTCTTGTATAGCCTATAAAATATCCCTAGTCTAACAGGTGCTATCCCTTCACTTCAGCTTTTGTAGTTATGTTAGCTTAACACGTAATGTGAAAGCATGCTTGATTTCCACTAAGCCTCTGCCTCTTGTTACACTGCCCTATATACTGAGACTAGGAATTACACTCTCCACCTCCTCCCCTACTGCCTGTCTCTCATAAAGCTTATGTACACTGATGGTGTTAAATATTATTTGCCCTTTTGGCAGTTATTCACCTGGAACGCACAACCTTCTCTTATCACAGATTGATTGCTTCACTCCTCCACTTTTATTTACTCCCTCCCAACAAAACCGGTAGCCATGTGAAGTACAAGGTACTTGTCTTAGGGACAAGGGAAGGTTTTCTAACTTTCTCCTGGTTCTTTTCCACAAATGCATTAAAGTAAAAAGCAATGCACAACTCATTACTGCACAAGAAGACAAGTGACATAGTTATAGAACTCTGAAGAATTCGAACACATTCTCACTGACATTCACTGCACATTTTTCGACAACATTCGCTGCATCTATAACATAGTGAATGTGGGGTTAGTAAATGCTGTAACTGGTGGATGTAACATCAATGTTTATTGTGCAGTAGGAGCAGAGTAGGAAAAAATATCTTTCAATAGTACAGTATGCAGATGGTTCTTATTGGTATCTTTAATTTACTTATATAAAAGAACACCGCGCTTTATATCTAGTCTGGTTTTTCTATGGTTTAAAAAGTTAATCATATTTTCAATAATTCTGTCATTTCCTTTGTCTCACCTTTTTTCATATATTCGGTTTTTCATATTTTATAATATATTGCGCTTTACATGAAGCCAATTGATATATCAATTTATACAATAATATAAATTATTTCATATTTTTAAAGATTAAAAAAAAAAAAATGTTTGTGTATAAACAAGACTTGTGAAGGTTAACATTTCTAAGTAATGCATGCATTTTTTCTTTAAATAACTTCCATACCTGAATAATATAATAACAAGAATGTTTACAGTTGATCTTTGGAAACACATTGGGGGGAATTTATCAAAGCACTTGCAACAGTTGTAGCCTTTTTTTAATGTGCAAATCTGTCTTTTAACATGTGCCCCTGTTTTCTACAGAGCTTGCACTACTTTTCCAACTGCGCATGTTTTGCACCTGTTTTCTTCAAAGCCTGCACTACTTTTTCAACTGCATGTTTTTTGCACCTGTTTTCTTTAGAGCTTGCACTACTTTTTCAGCTGCATGTTTTTTGCACCTTTTTTGCACGTGTTTTCATCGGCACTTGTTCTGGGCTGTCTGAAACTGGAGCATCACCTAAGAAAACACTCACAACTTAAGAAGTCCCCATGACCACTTCTTCAAGATGCGACAGTTAAGTTTTTTGCCTGAAGTTAGAAGTCTTCTTTCTTGGAGTCTATTAAACCTAATTTATCAACAACATTACAGTAGCTTGATAAATCTGGTGCAAATATATTCCGTGCAAGTTCAAACACTCGCAACTGCTTTGATAAATTCCCCCCATTGGGTTTGTTTGTCAGTTATGATACAGACAGTACTGGATTTAAACCACATACTGTATACTGTATATATAACAGCAAAGAAATACGGTAGCAGTGAGCGCTATAAGCACTTATAAAATGTAAGGGTTTTACTATTATGCCCGAGAAAGAACCCTAACATGTTTTAATAGATGCACTTGTAGTTGTTTTCAGTTCTCCAATGAGCAGTGTCAATCTACCTCCAAACTTTCTGCTCTAATCGATGGTTAACACTTGTCAGAACTCTGCTTCTATAATATAAAATCCTGTGGCCCATAGACCTCAGCAGTCTGTAGTGGGCGTGGCAGAATTGATTTGTGAAGGAGTAGGAGCAGTGATGCCTAATAGCCTCATGTACCATTTCCCTAGTGGTCTGTATTCTGCAGCATGTCTCCAGCCTTCAGCTATACCTGTAGCATGTCCATAGTCTCTGACCATAATTTCCTCTAGTATGTCTGGGCCCTTTCTGGTATTACATATACTGAACATTATGTGCAGCCCTGGGGTCACTGTTGAGGCCCCCTATACCTGGAAAGTTGACAACCACTAATATAAACCATAAATAACAATAGCACCTGCAGAGTCCTGCTGACTGAGTCTTTCTATACTAGGGTTCCTTTAGCGGTTTTTAGGGGTTCATTGAGCAATAGGCAATTTCTGACTTTCAGAAAGGTAACCATTGACATCAATTATCTTTTTAGTTATCTGTAAAGACATGCTTTCCATTTACTACCGAGTTAATGAAGAAGTACTGGGAAAGTAAAGTATACTCTTCCCAATACTTAGACCCAGCATGGGACACTGCAGCTGTCACACATTGGCTCTATATACCAAGAGCTGAGCGATGGTGTAACCACTGATCGCTCAGAACATGGTCTCCTCCCTGCAGAGCAGTGACTGTCAATCATTGCCACCTCCCCTCCCTACAGGGATGCCCCCCCTCCCCTGTCTGTTCCTCCAGTGCTCACAATATTCTTAAGTTTCTTCCTGGCTGCTGTGCAACTCTGTACTGTCAGCATATAGTGGGTAGTAACCTGCTACATGCTACTTTGGGTCAAGGGAGTACATTATTAAATGTACTCCTCTGACCTAGACACACAATTAGTAACTACCCAGATCAATGAACTCCAGATAGTCTGAGACCTCGCCCCTATTAAGGAATATGTTACAAAAGATCCACATCAAAGTGTCAGTGGGGTTTTATGAGCCATCAGACTTCAATTTCAAAAATGTACAAAATGTATTCTCAATTCCATAAAATTCCATAGATTCCATTAAAAACCATACATGTACATGCATAGTCTCAATTCTGCCTTATTGCCACATTAACTAATGTATATAATTACATTTAACCATGTGCTATGTTAAAAGGTATGATGTTTCCAACTTTTCTGTATATTCTTTATTCATAGTGGCAATAATTCATATACTTCCAACATGTTTCGCAGTTGCGCTTCCTCAGGGATGAAATGAGGCAAGAATCTATTTGCAAATATAAAATCATCTTTATACATATTTCATTCTATATGATTATCAATCGTCATTCATCTCTATAATATAGTCGAGAATTAACCTTCCCTTACCTACTTAAAACAAAAGGAATCAATGCAAACCACTTTCAAGGTATGAGGACAGAATTACACCCCCTTTCCCTCAGAATCCGCCCAGCGGGACCACAGGCGCACAAGGGGCAGGAGAGCTCGTTTATCTATAATATGACCATCATTTAATATAGTTAACTTCTACTAATTGCCCAATGTTCAATACATATACCAAAAAATGGCAATCATGTCCCAAACAACAATTAGAAATAGTAATCCCAACACTAATAAACCCCAATGTGAAACCACAAGCATGCATGTGAATATATTTCATATGTGATATAAGTAACCCTCCTTTGTTTTATTAAATAATTGGCCCACAAAATTATGAAGATATTTGTAATAACTCATAAGTATATGAGCTTAATATAAATCCGTCAATACCTAATCTGGTTACAATGTGTCCATGTGTGAGAAATAGAATTTTAAATTTAGCCAACCTTCTCAGCCAAATACATAGTGTGCAGCATTATGATATGTAATCCACTCCAACCTATGTCATGTAGATAAATCATCCTAAAGTGCTTGTGATGCCCATTCCTATATTATTGAGTGAAGTGAAAATGCTTTAATTTACCTTTCTCAGTGTTTAAAAAAGGATTTGCTCCTCCTATCTTCCAAAACTCAGACTGCTACATAGGCCTGTTCATCTCCTCCAGCTCAACCTCTCCTCCTTTCTCCCCTGCCTTTTATGCGCCCCCACCTTCTGCCATCAACGCGCTAGTATAGCGTGTGACATCACCGGAAATAACGTGTGCATCCCGTTCGCAAAAGCGCAAAAAAACCCAAAAGGGGAACAAATTCCACCTCCTAGCTGTTATGGCTTTCTGGTTAATGTTAATACTTTACTAGGGATGTCCTTTATGATCAGGATGCGCATATGGTTCCGCCACACATATAGCATGCAATAAATCCTTCGGCTCAGAGCAGGCTAATCAAGGGTATCCTACTATCATTCATATACAATAGAACTACAAGATTTAATTAACTATTTATTTTTACAATTACGATTTTCATTTGTAATTTGCATATATTAATAATATCTATGAATCCGAACACAAGTACCTTTCTTAGAATATAGCGACAATATTTGATGATTCCATATCTCTTTAATATGATAGTCAAAGTGTAGTTTGCTTACTTAAGGAAGGGTCTAAAACTTAAAACCTCATTGAGACCGGGAGGCATATTAGCATTTAGCTTATAGATCCAATGGGTCTCTACCATCATACCTTTTAACATAGCACACGGTTAAGCGTAATTATATACATTAATTAATGAGGCAATAAGGCAGAATTGAGACTATGTATGTACATGTATGTTTTTAATGGAATCTATGGAATTTTATGGAATACACTTTGTACTCCTCTGACCTCAAAGAGAAGTAAAGCCAAAAAAAAATAAAAATAAATTTGCTTTACTTCTCTTTTGAGGAGTACTTTTCCCACTGATCACCATTGTAATGTAATCCTTCTTTCACTAATTGTTCCAATGACTACCAGTCTAGTGTTAGAAAAATGTATGCTACGGTAAGTACATATCTTATACTTTTATTTATTCCTATATCTCAACTTGCGCTAATGTACTGTGAGCTATAGATCTAGTAATTACTACCAGGGGTTCCCTGACACCAGAATTTTATTTCAAGTGTTCTTCCATGTTGGAAAGGTTGAGAAAAACTGATATAACCAAACAAATAATAATTACATGATAATTTGTTTCTTAGCCCATTTTCACGATTAACATGAAACAAATGATGGAAAATATCAAAGTGCAAATACTAGTGTTAATACTCGGCCATGATAGGTCATTCATTGCTGACATACTGTATATCTGTTACAGCCTATGGGATGCTCATCTACTGGGCAGTCATTGGCCTTGAGGTCAATCTTCGGTTGGTCTTGTCTGCCTGCAGGATATTCACCTGTTGGGTGGTTATCTCTCAGTATTCAACCTTCTGGC